CCGACTGTAGTCCCTAGTACACCACCGACTCTGGCTTGAAGCTATCATTCCGAAAAAATCTATTCTATTTTTTCATGTAGTGGACACTCGTGTACAATAAAAAAGAGTGTGTTATTTTTCACAAAAATATTTTTCGAGAAAGAAAAACCGTAAAACTCGGTAAATAAATACTGACTAAGATCCATGGTCAGAACGGAAGCAGCTCTGAAACCCATATGAGATCCCAGCACTGATAATTTCATGGTCCTCATGTGGAGCTCACTTTATTCTTCTTACAACGGTGCGGGAGCGGATGGTTACCCGGAAGACTACGGGAAAAGATTTTTTATATACTTTATAAATACTTTATATAAATATTATACAATATCTAATATGATTCTTTATGTGATTTTACCTATTTCTGATCATTTTCTTTAGAGGGATTCTAATTTCTGTGGAAAATAGGGTTAACTGCTTCACCCTAAGTATTTTGCCCATGTAGGTGGCCCACAGTTATGCCGTATGTTGTGCCCGCTTGAGTTACTGAGTACTTTCTCATAATAGTTGAAAGGATGTAAAAAGTTCCGGCAAAACAACCTAGAAATACTGTGGTTAAAAGAATTGTTAATGTCCCAAGTAGTTCTTACATATTATGAGAAAAACGAAAATGCGATTTTCTAAGGTTTAGAATTTTCAAGACTTGGTATTACTGCTTCGATTCCAGGTTGAGCGACTAAGGAGGAATTTTTAAAGGGATTTAATTATGAAGATTTTTTTCGCGTTAAAATGTCTTATTATATATACTCTTTTTATGCCCAATACTCAGTGGTAGAAAAGGGATTCCACTTCGTTCCCCCTGCAAGAGAGCCACGAAGGGAGGTTATTTAAAGGGAAAGCTTCGTGTGCGTGACTATGCCTCATATAGAAATATATTTTGCATTAGCTTTTTGATTACGGGAAAAACGGTTGCAGTGTGGGTGATCATTCCAAGAATCTGCAAAGGAAAGGAAATTGAGTGTTGCCGAGGTTAGCCAACGAAAGTAAGCAGTTGCAGATTTATAAGGGTTTTTCATGGTCTCATCTCCCAACTTTCTTGGGTTGGGGTCTTGGTCGGATTCCCCTCGTGTACCGTCTCTTCAAAATGCAACTTTTCAACAAAATAAGATTCGAGTAGTTGGAAAAACAAAGTCCAGTGGAACTTGTTGGATGATGGAGTTGATCGCAAGTAAATGAATCTGCTCTTTGATGTCTTCGAATCTCAAACATTGTAATTGCTTCGCAAATAAGTTACCGATAGGACTTGCGTCAATAAAATGAAGTAGCACGAAATGAATCATAATGTAGGCCAGCGGGAGGGAAAGTTCGGTAATATACAGTGTTTTCGTTTCAAAAACTAAAAAAAAGCATACGAAATATGAAAGATCGACGTGCGAAAAGGAAAAAAGTAAGGGAGTGATACCAAACTTTTGGATTACAAAGGAGGAGAGCAACCAGTTAAAGGCACAGTTCACGATAAAAATGGTTTCTGGGATTTCCCAATAGGATGAATTTGAGGCTCCCTCTTATACCATATCTGGCGCTAGCATGTCGGGAAACGGCCTAGTTAGGGCGTTATAAAGGCTCAAAGATTGGCTCGTGTGTATCTTCGGACGAGTTTCACCGGCACTGTAGAGGCTGCATAGGTCACAAAGGAACCCGTGTAGGGAGTCCAAACAATTTGTCTTGACCTACAGCGGCAGTGAAAGGCAGTTCTGTGCAGTTCTGGCTTGATGTAGTCAGCTCTTTGAGCAACTGCAACAACCGATATCTCGTCCGAATACCCCTTCCATGTTATTTCCGTCATGGTAGTCTCGTCTAATCTCCATTCTTTCTACTTTTGAGGAGCATTCTTTTTCTCAAAATCAGCGAATTTCCTCGCTTTTTTCACTACCCATGAACTATTCCCAAATTATACTTCCATTTTTCGACTGAAAAGGGGTACCTCAAAATTATCGTGAACTGTGCCCTTAACTTTGTAAAAGAGAGAATGTATTAGTTTTCTTTGAGGCCTACTCGACAAAAAGAAAAGAGAATAGGATTTGAACCTGCGTAGGCTACCAAAAACTCGAAAACCTGTGAACACGATGAGTTTATGCGTGATGAGAAAACCTTGGAAGTTGGCAGTTGACTCATACCCAGTATTACAACCCTACTTTTTGAGACGACTGTCAGCAAAAAAAGAGATCTATCAGATCTATCGGGATAAAGGGAATAGATTCCGATAGGAGTTGTCGCCATTGAAAGTTTTTAGTCTTCTGAAGTGCCCTACCTTTCCGTGGTAAGCTCCTCAACCCAATCACATCAAACTCGTAACAGTCGAAAGCAAAGATCCTAGTGTGGATTGCTTCCGTCTGAGGTGCTCCCACGCTTTCAACTTCCATTCATAGTGGGTTTTCAATGGGTATGTGGCTCAACAATAACTTNTTTTAGTCTTCTGAAGTGCCCTACCTTTCCGTGGTAAGCTCCTCAACCCAATCACATCAAGCTCGTAACAGTCGAAAGCAAAGATCCTAGTGTGGATTGCTTCCGTCTGAGGTGCTCCCACGCTTTCAACTTCCATTCATAGTGGGTTTTCAATGGGTATGTGGCTCAACAATAACTTTCGGGGTTATATGCAAGAAATCGGTGCTTTTATGCTCATAGACGACTGTGGTATCATTTAGTAGAGTGGTCTAGCCGGAGAAAGAGCGCCGGTTGTTGTGGGTCGGATTCCATTCCCAGACCAGGCATGGTAGAACCCAAGCTGACTGGATTTCACGACTCTTCGAGGTTAATGTTAGAATTTACAATAGTTTCAGTTAACCTTCAGTATGAAAGGAAACAAGGGATCTGAAGCTCTAGAATGGGTTCCTTGGATGATTCTCACCAAAGGTTCCCTAGAGCCGTTTGTTCGGCAAAACCTCAACCAACAATTAATCTAATATTTGATTCTGATAATTTATTTCTCTATCCCAGCAATTACAGCTATTATAATAAATCATTTAGTTCTTCAGTCTAGTGAATGGCACGTGAATTTGCATTTTGTTAATTATATTTACAGTGCATTCGAGGCGTAAGTCTCGAATAAATGATTCAAAGTTTTCCCCTGAACGGGACAGGAAAGGCCTGGCAATTACGAGAGGAGTAACGCTCATTAAGAGGAACTTCGCATTAGGAATCCAAACAAGGGAGTACAACTTCCTTGTGTGTAAAGGGAACTTGAAGCTCCAGAGGCTTCTCATGAGGAAGGAACATGGGCTGTTCGGGCAATCTTCCTAACCTCCCCTATAGCTGTAAGGATAAGGTGGTGGGTGTTGACTTTTGGCTGTTGGCTCTCCGTGAAGCTACGAGTATATGTACGTACTTCCACAACTACGTACTTGTAATCGTCACCGTAACTACCGTAACCGTGATACCGTAACTTCCAGGACTCGGCCGATGACAGCTTTAGGAATTTCATCTTCCATGAGATGTATATTGACAGATTTCCGGCTTGGAACGCTGGAACGTTTCCGCCGGAAATGTATTAATGACTTTGCAAATAACCATCAGCAAGACTTCGTCGGTGAATGGGAAAGGGACGGGGATGGATTCCATAATCTTGCCCATCTATCACTTATCTTTTGAGAGATGAACTTTCTGGACCTAGGCATTAGTTTCAACAACGAGCTGAGAGTCAGAAACGATCCCCAACGAACTACTAAATCTCATTAATCAACGCACCTCATAATTCAAATCTGCTACAATTTTGAAGGCTTTACNATGTCTTTCGGGAAAAGTAAGTAGGGATAGGCTCTTAAAAAATCAGTTCTGTTCCCAGTGTTATCTCTACTACTGCATGTTCTCGAGATAATTTCCAGTAGTTGTGAGACAGTAACCTTGCTATCCACAGCAACCCTGATCGATAGTTATATAGCTTTGAGCAATCAAGACTACTTCATCGTTCTAAGTTTCTTATTATTCCGGTTAGAGTAGAGGTGGGATGATGCCTAGTGGCCAGCTACCCCACGCCTGGTCGGAGGATCAAATCCCGAGCCGCTGTCAGCCTAGAAAAACAAAACATTCTGTTCTTCCGTCAAGGGATTTCATTGATGCCAAATTGGGATGGTGAAATGACATCACTGATTTATACTTCTGTTGGCCCACACGATCAACAGAATAAATGCAGACCCTCCAGACAAATATACGCCGAAGGTATCACAATGATTCTGATGAAAGTTGGACACTTCGAATCCTTCCATGGGGCCAGTCAACGTTGTAGAATTGTTATTTTTTCCTGTACTGCTCACCAAGTTGGGAGCATCTCTTGCTTGAAAACAATGAGAGTATGACTTCAGTCATTCCCTTCACTTGTATGTGAGCAAGTGAAATAGAATTGAAATGACCATAAAATGCCCATTCCATCTATGCAATGAATCATAGAGCAATAGCGCCCACGTCCAAAAAAACGGGCATAGTATTTCCCAACCGAATTCGGAGAGGCAGAAAGCGCGAATGGATTTAACATGATTTATTGGGGGACCACACCCGTGGGAGAAGTGCCTCTGGCCCCTATACCTTGAAATCTTGTCCTAGAACTCAGAAACTCAGTAGTAATTGAGGAACTTTCACACGGCAATTAAGTGCCCGAGAAGCATCTGAAGACAGTATTGGCAATTATAATTCGTTCCGAGTTATTTTTATCTACTTATTTACCCTTGGCTACATCAGAAGAACGATTGGGTAGGGATGAGCTGGAAGCGCAAAGAAAATGACCCAAAAAGTAAAAATTCCATGCTACACCCATCCCAGTCAATCCTATACAGAGCTCCGTTGTGTTTGCAATTGAGCTCTTTGTAGGCTTTCTTTTCGGGTTCCCTTCCTGGAGCTATTCTCAAGCACTTTTTCACAGTGCCGTCCTCTCTTTGGTGGTCTATCCGACGTGGATAAGGCTGTTCGCTGATGAACATGAGTAACTACAAACCCTGTATTGTATTTTTCCAAAAACTCGATAGTAATCGAAAGAAAAACCAATTATTGATCGATTGAGAACGTAAATCGAATCGTGCTCAATGTGGATTGTTCGGGAAGGATAGTCACACGTGAAGAGGATGGGAAAGAAAGCCATGAAACTGGCAAATGCAGCTGATGGCTGGAGATTGATTGCGTTTTGATGAGAAGAAAACTGCTCGTGCTGTGAAGCAGGGAAATCAGTGCCGAGGGGGCCCGCCCCCTCATCGCACCATGGACACCGCCCTCGAGAGGAGTCGGCCGAGTCTGCTGCTATATGACATGATGAATGGGATGAACACCCTGAACTGCATGGCTACTAAAGGTTGCTAGAACTTCCCGAACACCTTCATCTGGACATGAAATCGATCCATTGGCTAGTAATTTGAGTTAGTAAGATCTGTTCTCAGATTACGATTACGGTAGTTATAAGCCTGACGAGACAGCTGCCCAAAACACCGCTCCCACGCCCCTCGCCCGGTCTTGGATTCAATACCGGAGCTCAATCCGCTCAAGGCTGCCAAAGTTTTTGTCTTCCCGGGTCGTTATCGTTCCGCATTCGTTATGGGCATAAAAACAGTGAGGATATCGAATCCGTGAAGAATGAAATGCAGATGAGCTGGCAATTTCAAGAGAGAACTAGCTGCGTGGCGTACTCTGGAAAGATCTCACGCCTTTATTCCTTCCCTTCTCTCCCACCCGCCACTGTCCTTTTCAGATTTATGATGGACGAAGATTGATGGAAGTAACCAATGCCAAATCTCAATTAATAACTAGAAAGGGCACAAAGCTTCAAGTAACACGTCAGAAATGCAAATGCGGTGGCCAGAAGGAAGTCTGTCCACTGGCCAAATGACACCCTCGAAGTCTGACTGAAAAAATAACCGAGAAGAAACTCCTCAAAGGACATCAATGAAGGAGGCATGTAGGGCAACTGGATGAAGTCTGAATGAAATTGCCGTAACTACTGAGAAAAAGTACTACATGTGTGAATTCGATTTCGGAAACGGCGAAGACATAGGATACAGGATAGGAAAAGTGCAAAAGGTTGGCTTGATTACTTCCTGTGAGGCGTTCCACATAATCAAATTTCATTTCAAGCCTGTGCGATATTTCAATACGTACTCGGACTACATAGTCCTTTAGGAACTTCTGATGTTCTCGAGCCCTCTATCAGGAATCTAGTTGTTCCATATGGTTTAAGGGAGTTGCTTGTATCAGCTGTTGTGGGTTTGGGTCTTACGGTGACGAACTCGCATGCGTCCTTACGATCGCTTAGCAAAAGCTTGAAGGCTCTTCAAGAAGGCACAACAATGCTGACTGTTTTCCGACCTATTTCCATAGTCACTGAACAGTTGCTGTTTATTCCAGGGCTATCATGGAATTTTCCATCTCACGTCCCTGCTTGCTACTCGGACATCATTCTTGACATTCCGTGAGAGTCAAGGGTCGTTAAGTCACCCAAAATATGTTGCGATACAGTAGTGCTGATAAACTACGTCTGCACAACGCCTTGATTTACCAAACGGTCAGCTACCACTTTCCTCTTAAATAACCCAACAAAAGTGTCTGAAATAAAAGACACCTTCCTCGGCATGTGTTGGAAAGGCGCCAAAAAATTATCTAATCGCAGCTATCCCAGATCTTCTATGTATACCGGCAATTAAATAAAGGAAAAAAGGACTCCCGAGATGTCATTAAAACCGATACAACTCGACGGATTCCCAAGAAAGAGCAACAATGCTGACTGTTCTCGTGTCAAGGTCTTTGAACTACATGTAGCTGCCTCTTGAAATTACGTACACCCATGTGTACTATTGGAAGGATTCATATAGAAATGAACTCAACTTCACTGATGAGTACTGAGCGAAGGTCTGTTACCTTTGAATAGGCAGAGACTCTGAGAAACGAACAACTATGAGAAGTAGTTGATAGACTATCCACATTCTTGAAGCTCATAAACCGGCAGCGGGTACACACACGTGCCTCCCGACAGGATATTGAGGTCTCATAAGCTCAGATGCTCCGGAACTTCGTTGGTTATGGCTTCGGAAAATGAAAGCCTGACTATGGATTTCCTTGTAGAGCATTTTTTGTCATTCCAACCCGAGGCAAGCGCTCAGGTGGTCTAGGCATGATTTCAAGGCGACATGCGAGAAACGGCAGAACAAAGCACCTTCTTTGTTTTCTTCTCTAGACATCAGACGTATCGATCACCTTTATTGAATAAAGGCTCGCTTCTAAAACGATGAAGTTCTCTGAACAATTGAATTGCAGTGCAGTAAAGGGATAGGGGCAAATGTAGTCTGGTCTTCAATGCGAACCTCGGCCACTATGTAGTACCCGAGAAGCGTTGGACTAGTATGGAGAGCTTCCCCTACTGAATTGGCGTCTGGGGAGCACTTGACGCTCGCATTCGCTGCGGCTGTTAACAGTAGTAGAACACAAATAATGTTAATTTCTTTATGAGTAACAAAAAAAATGGAATAGTTCGTGCTCCATGGAGGAGTCCGTTCTTAATGTATCTTTACTATATATAATCTATCTATAAATTGGATTTTCTAGAGTGGGAGTGGTTCGTATGAGCGGAAATCAGAAATTTAAATCAAAAATGGGTAATTACGCTTTCAACTAGAAAATTACACTATTTTCATAGTAAACGAATAAGTCGTTACAATTATTCTTACAAAAAATATCCACCCTAGTTCTAACACCTCCCCAGGGATTTTTTCTAGCTCTCGAAAAATCGATACCCATTTAATACTGGGAGCAGTACCAAGCGCGTAATTTGTGGATCATCCAAAAGGAATGTTCTAGTACAAGGTTCAGCACTCGTTTACCATGCCTAAAAAGGTTTTGCATCTCTGGCAATGTTCCAAAAAGAGCTCAATGAGATGGGAAGGAAAACAGGTGTGTGATGAGGCCCGATGCGATATTGGCTCAAAACATTGACGGCCAGAAAACCGCTGACGTGCAGCTGCTTGATGTTTAATGCTTGGAAATGTCCTCATTCATTGTGGCCACAAGAAAATTATGTGTGCCATTACATCTTGTCAGTGTATGAGATGAAGGTTTATCGTAGGCAACTGCTTGGTCAGGACCCTGAAGCTCAATTCCGGGTTTTTATAATACCCGACAAAAAAGTTTCTCAGACTCAAAGGTAGATTAAGCTGAGGCACAATCGAAAGCTGGGAAGCTGGTTCATTCGAGGAGTTCCCTGAAGTCCGTAGGAATCTGAAGAAGTTTTTGATTTACTTGTTTACTTGGATGTGGGAAGTTGCCGATGTCGGCTATTCTTCAGAACTACTGAGAAAGCATTCGCAACTCTAACTGGAGTAGTAGTTCAACATTAAATGGAATAAAACAAACTCAAAGTCAATATTTCTTTCTGTCTCGGCATTTGGTACCTTTTAATCGGATGAGGGAATGTTCGGCCTGTTTGTATTGAGGGTGATTCGGTTACGGATTGAA